TGGTTCACAGGGCCTGCCTGCTGTTGCATGGACCTTCAGGAGGGAGTTGAGGATGTGTGTGTTGAAATCAGTGTTTCCTCTAGATAACTTGCCATGGCGGGGCGCTCATCTCATCCGTGATTGTCAGTGATTGGGTCGGTAGATGGGGCGGGGTGCCCCACTTGTACAATGGCAGGGGAAACACTGGTCAAATGTCTTCTGTAACTCAGCGCTCCAAGTTTTAACAGGGTCGTTTGGTTGTACCTTAAAGAAGCGCTGGTTGGGCGAACTTGTATAAATAAAACTGACAGTAGTTAAAGCAAAAGAGTCATTCTTGACTTTGAGTGTTGCACAATGTAACCGTTGAGGGAGTGCCACTATCTGAAGTTCATAACTCTAATCATCTTAACAAAATTATTACTAATCCACGTGTATTTCTACAGAATACCTGAATGATTTTATCTCCAGGTTGAAGAATCTTAAACGCTGGTCCCTCAGGTTGGACCCTTGTCACAAATATACCCTGAAATTACACAACATGAAATATATTACATCCAGCAAATACGCAGCACACAGTTCAACAATATGCATTAATTTAAAGCATAGTCAATAAACAAAATAAAAAAGTGCAACTTTACATTATCATCAGAACGAAAAGGGTTCCCCCGACCTCCCACTCCTCCTGATATACTGAAACCAAGCTCTGGATTCTTCTCTACTTTCACATGGATCTGAAACACAACAACACACTTGTTTTAGACACCATTTCACAAACACACACCAAATAAGACACAGTTTTACTGTTACTTTAATATAAAACAGTAGTAGAAGGTCACAAGTGTGAATATTTTCAAATCAATTCAATTTAATTTATTTATATTGAGCCAAGACACAACAGAAGTCATCTCAGGGCACTGAACAGAAACATCCATATACTGTATATATATAAGTAACATTATTTATCTGATGAACCATTTACTGTGGATGTGAAAGTTAGGAACCCAGATTATTATTAAAAAAAATAAAATAAATAAAAGACCATGCTTGTAAAGTTCCTGCACACAAAAAGCAACTGCTGATAAGAACATTAAAAGAAAAGTAGATTTATAATGTCTAGGTAAATTTATTTGTAAATTTTAAGACCTAGGCAGCACGGTGGCACAACTGGTAGAGCTGCTGCCTCTCAGCGAGCAGGTCTCCGGTTCAAATCCTGGTCCGGGGGCCTTTCTGGGTGGAGTTTGCATGTTCTCTCCGTGCATGCGTGGGTTTTCTCCGGGTACTCCAGTTTCCTCCCACAGACCAAACACATGCATGTTAGGCTGATTGGTAACTCTAAATTGTCCCTAGGTGTGAGTGAGAGAGTGAATGGTTGTTTGTCTTTATGTGTCCCTGTGATGGACTGGAGACCTGTCCAGGGTGTACCCCGCCCCTCGCACAGTGATTGCTGGACATGGGCACTGGCGACGCCCGTGACCCAAAATGGAAGAAGCGGGTAAAAAGTCGATTAGAATGTGATCATAGACCCAACAGAACAAAAAAACTAAAAAAAAAAAAAAAAAAACAGAAATAGATAATGGCAGCACAGATTTATTACACACCTGGATTAAAAAACATTTTATTGATGTAAACATAACCTGTTTGTTGACAAGTTCATGGAATATTAACAACAAAGTGACAGTGGTACAGTGGAAACTCCCTTGAGAATGCTTGTTTGATTCCAACAGTCACAGTCCAGTGAGACAGGCTTTACAGTAAAGGAGGAAGAAGCCAGCAGTGGAGACATCGCTCCAGACCAGTCAATTATTATTATTAACCTTTGTTTAACCAGGAAAATCCCATTGAGGTCACAAGTGAGGCCTGGGCCTGAAGGCAGCCCAACATGCATGTTTTGAAGTGTGGGAAGAAACTGGAGTATCTGCAGAAAACCAGTCAGGTCCAAACCAGGTATTGAACCCCTGATCTTCTTGCTGTGAGGCAACAGCGTTAACCACTAAGCTGTGCTGTCGTCCAAAAATTCAATTTTCAAACCAGCACTTGGTTGTTGCCTGGCCAGGATATAAATCCTCCAATTTCAACAAATTACAGTTTATTTGAAAGATTTTGAGATAGAGATTTACAAAAAACAATAACGACTTAAGAAAAGAGGACTTCACAACACCAAACAAAAACAAGGAGATTTCCCAGTGCTATGGCAGCTGGCAGAGAAAAAAGGTCCATTTCAAAACATAAGAATTATAAAGGACAAAGGATTTTTACTTTGATTATTTTTACTTGTTTGAAACTTTGATGGGCGATACGGTGAATCAGTTGGTAGAGCTGCTGCCTCTCAGCAAGAAGGTCACCAGTTCAAATCCTGGCTCAGGAACTTTCTGGGTGGAGTTTGCATGTTCTCTCCGTGCATGCGTGGGTTTTCTCCGAGTACTCCAGTTTCCTCCCACAGACCAAAAACATGCATGTTAGGCTGACTGGTAACTCTAAATTGTCCCTAGGTGTGATTGAGAGAGTGAATGGTTGTTTGTCTCTTTATGTCCCTGTGATGGACTGGAGACCTGTCCAGGGTGTCCCCCACCTCTCGCACAGTGACTGCTGTACTTTTGGTCTTCACTAGCTCTCTAGCGAGGCGCATGCATTCCTTTCCGCTCCCTGTTCTCCTCCTGCTTTTTTTTTACTCTCTGTGTATCGGAGCAGCTCCTATTTTTTACACATCTTCCGAAATGGAAACTACTGTTTTGGCTCTGACCAACTGGACTTTCGACGTATATTACAAATTCTTAAAACAAAGTGATAGGGTCCTGGAGAACTCTCATCTGCTCGGACGAGACGTGCAGCTGGATATATCTCTGGGGGGATGTGTCTCCCTCTGCTATCGACCGAGGATGCTGAAATTGTCGATAATTGGATTTATGAGAACTGGTTTCCTGTTTTTGGAATAGTCTGAATCTTGGTTTATCAACATACAAAGAAGACGGCTGCAGCTAATTTGGACCTCGATAAGCTGCTGTCTGTGTGAAGGTCTGGTTCGTGTTGGAGGACTCAAAATCAGCTGATTTACGAGCAAAACCGTAAGTTGGAAGTGATTTGAATCGCAGGCCACCTGCGGCTTTGGGACTCGTCAGCATGAAAACCCCATCTTGAAGAGGCTCGTAAGCACGGACCAGTGGAATGCACCCTGATCTGGACATTTCAGACCTTGGAAAGTATCAGTACAGACTCAAGGCTGACGGAAAATAGTCTGCCTGAATAAATCAGCAATTGTGGCTATCTGACTCTCTCCCCAGCTGGCTTTGGAACAGGCAGACTTATCAATTTCTCCTGGGAAATGTGTAAACTAAGGAAAAGCTTAGTCTATTGCAACCCCCTCCCTCCCCCGCCCCTTCTGTGGAGTCTTATTAGAACTGTGCCGGCTGACCATCATCTTATCAGGACAATGGACTCTCTTGGGCTTCATGAACCACCTTGTTTGTAAATGCCAATGCAACGTGTTCATAAACGTGCTTTAGCTGGCAGAGGTTTTTTTGATGTCTTAAATCTTGCCCTGTAAGGACAAGGTGCGAAGAGATCTTTTTTGTAATGCCACTACCCTCTCCTTATGTTTTTGTTCCCTTGTCTATCTAAAATATTATTCTGAATAAGAATAAGAGGGCCATGCTTTATAGCAGTAGCTTCGTGCACTCCGTCCATCTTTCGGACGGCTGTAAGGACATATTCTCATTGTGTCTCGGTGCAATGATAATAAAGCTTATTCTGATTCTGTACATGGGCACCAGTGACCTCCGGTGACCCAAAACGGAAGAAGCGGGTAAAGATAATAGATGGATGAAACTTTGATTTAAAGGTAGATTGGGAAGAATATATGCCATTTTAGTTACCAGGACTGCTAGATGGTGTTTTTCTGGGTAATTTTTATGCAAATCTTAATTGTGAGGGGGGAAAAAAAAAGAATATTTTAATTCAGCTTGTGCTCATTCTAATTTATTTTGCCAGAACAAGTCACGTTTCTGTTGGGGAAAAAAAGTGCAATGCAAAATTAACAAAATGGTAAAATGCTTATAAAATATTTTATTAATGGAAGCGATACACTTTGGTTTTAGCCATGTTTGGACTAGCTGTTACCTCATTAGTTCTGTCTAGTCAAATCAAGTTATTTATAGAGCACATTTAAAACAGGAACTGTTACCAGAGTGCTTAACAAAAATATACAGCATCAACTAAAAAAACAATAGTATTACAGCATCAGGAATAAAATCAAAGGAGTATAAGGATGGAGAAGGTCGGAAAGGTATGAGGGTGCAAGACCATTAATGAACTTAAATGTCAGCAGATTAATTTTAAAATCAATTCTGACATGCACAGGAAGCCAGTGAAGGGAGGACAGAACTGGTGAAATGTGCTCAAACCTGTGAGTTCCTTTTAACCGCTGAGCTGCAGCATTTTGGACGAGATGGAGACGTGAGAGAGAGACCTGACTGACCCCAGCATAAAGTGAGTTACAGGTTGTAACAAATACATGGACTCATTTTTCAAGGTCGGATCTGGACAGCACAGACTTAAGTTTAGCTATCTGCCTTAGCTGATAGAAGCTTTTTTTGAAGAACAGAGTTGATTTGTTTATTAAACTTAAAGTCTGAGTCTAAAACTATCCTGAGATTGGTAACAGACTGTTTTAGACATGGCTGAAGGGAGTCCTGGTTTGCAGGATCAATGACGGCGACAAAGTTAGGGTTAAACATAATGACCTCAGTTTTCTGATCATTAAAACTCAAGTTCGCAGACGTCCAAGTCTTTATTTCACCAAGACATTTTAGCAAAGGTTGAATGGAGCAGGAACTGTTAGGTTTTAAGGGCAGATAAATCTGAGAATCAACAGCAACAATGAAACGAAATACCATGTTTCCTCAGGATAGACCCCAAGGGGAGCAGATACAATGAAAACAGAAGGGGTCCAAGAATGGAGCCTTGCGGGCCCCCGCAGGAGAGGCACAGAAGCAGATAAACAATTATCAACATTAACACAAAACTCCTGTGACTCAGATATGAACGGAACCATTCTAATGCTGCAATGGTAATCCCAACCCAGTGTTCTAGCTGTGATAAAAGGATACTCTGGTCAACAGCCTCAAAGGCAGTGGTAAGGTCAAGGAGTACCAGGATCACAGACTGACCAGAATCATTCGCTAGCAGAATGTCAATACAGACCCTTACTAAGGCTGTTCCAGTGCTGTGTAGTTTTTTAAAACCTGACTGAAAAATCTCAACTATTCCATTTTCATTCAAAAACATTGTTGACTAAAAACTATTTTCTCCAAGATTTTAGAAAGAAAAGGAAGTTTTGAGATTGGCCTGAAGTTTGAACAAGTTGAAGGGTCAAGTCCAGGTTTTTGAATTAATGAAGTTTCCACTGCATGTTTAAAAACATCAGGAACCACATCTGTAGCCAAACTGCTGTTTATAATAGCTCGAACAGAGGGTCCAGTTGATGGTAGAACCTGTTTAAAAAAACGCTGCAGGGATGGGATCAGCAGGGGAACCTGAGGGTTTCATATGACCAACAACCTCATTTAAAAATGAGAGGGAAATGGGTTCAAATTGACTGAAAACTGTTGAGCAGGGGACAAAAACACATCAGACACAAAACAGTCAAACTATTTCCTGAGTTTGTTCAACGATGGCTTCTGTTCTGTTCATGGATTCCATCATTGCCATGTACCTGAATTAACCCTGAAAAACAACTACATATAAATCTAAAGCCTGAAAGAGCAAAAGTGAAATCATCTAAATCATCACGTTACCTCTTGCTGCAGCGTTTCGTGAGGAACTCGAGGGGGGCCATGAGGCTGCTGGGAGACTTTGAGCATCAGGTAGTCAATCAGCTGCTCTCTGGAAGGATGACGAGCCATCGATGTCTGATTCATCTGGGGACGAACAGACGGGCCCATCTGACCGTTCATCAAAGGCACCTAAACAAAGAATGGTGAACAAAACACCTGCTTGGTTGGTTTTTACTCTTCAACTAAAACTTTCCATTCATTTGACATACTTTTCTGTGGCTGTTGTAGCTTGGTGGCCCTTGGGGAACAAAAACATCATCCTGAAAAGAAAACAATATATTATCGATTATAATTCTACCAAAACATGAAAACCCATTACAAAAAAATCTAAATGAACACAGTTTACGTTTTAAAAATATTAGACTGGAAAGTGCTGATTTATCAGCGGACAAAGAAGAATTTTATCGAAACACAAACTGCTCTGGTTTGACTCGAGCACAAAACTATAATTCTGATTATTCATTTTAAACGTTAAACAGGGACATAAACAGACAACACATGCTGATAGTTTTGAAGCAGTTTTCTAAATCTTCTCATATCCATGGCTACATCACTCAGACACACACTTCTCCAACTTACCTGTCATCAACACACACCTCCACACACAGAGAAGTTAAGAACGTCAGAGCTGATCAAAAGTAGGAGTGAAGATGGAGGACAAGAGAACTGTGCAATAAATGTGTGGGTAATGGAGAAAAATGCAATGATTAGATATGAGATCCAGCACGATCACAGGATGAAGGTCAAACCATGTTAAAGGAGCCAGGCAGGTTTAAAAGGGGCCATTTTGTCTATTGCTGGATCATTAACTTGCAAACAAGAAAGAAGATGTTTTTTACAGACAAAAGGAGCAACGCCAGCTTTATTTAAAAAAGCTTCAGGAAAATTTAAGCTATTTATCCTGTGAAAATGACCAGGGCAGTCACCTGCAGCTGCAAAACATTGTCAGGACGTTGTTTTACTAGATAAAAAATAAAAACAATGAAAAAAACATTGAAATTGATCGGGGTGGTATTCCAAAAAGCAGCTTTATCTGACTGACATCAACGCAGAATTTCATAAAGCTCGACATCAGAAGGGGATTGCACACCTACATTAAATTTGCTCTGACCCCAGATTTTTTTTGTTTTGTTCGAATGGTGTTGCCAATTATCAGAATCCAAAATGTATCTCTGTAACATTGTCCCACTTCACAATCCAATCACCCTCCACAATCAGACAAATGTCTGTTCATCACACTGAGGTATAATGAGCAGAAATGAATATGCTGAATAAAACATTTACACAGTTACCACAAAACAGAGACAAGTAATTCACATTTATTTGGTCTTTTTTATTCTTTCTTTACAGGCCAACATATGCTGAAGTCAAAATTTAAAATTTTTTTCCAGCGATGAATCCTTCTTCACTTGAGCTCCAGTTGTAAAGTTTTTAGGTTCACCTTTCTAATTCTGTGGTCCAAATATAGAAAAATAACAAGCAGTACTCCGATGTCCCCCGACGCTGAGGGATTTGAATAGTAAATGTTTGTATTTTTAGAGATTAATGTTTTTCTGTAATGGAACTAAATAGGAAATGGAAGTGAACCTTAATGTTTTTGGTGCAAGATATTCAAGTGTGCAGCTATGATTGTCTGAGGCAGAACAAAGTGACAGATCCTGGTAATTGGAGGGAGTGATTTTATCCACCACCAGGAGAAATGCTGGAGACAGTGGGTGGCCAATGGTGGCCGTGACCACCATAGTATCAAATGAGAACTATTACATTTTAACAGTTCATTTTAAGAAATGAGGTCAATTTGTCCTCTAGTAGTCTAATCCTATAGCAGCATAACAAGCCAACCCTAGGATTTATCAAAAATGAAAGTCTTAATCCCAATCTTAAAACTGGACAATGTGTCAGCCTCACGGACACAAACTGGAAGTTGGTTCCACAAGAGAGGAGCCTGATAACTGAAAGATCTTCCGCCCATTCTGCTTTTGGAAACTAGGAACCACGAGTAAACCTGCAGTCTGAGAGCGAAGTACTCTGTTAGAAAAATATGGAACAATAAGATCTGTAATATAAGATGGAGCTAGGTTGTTGAGAGCTTTGTAGGTTAGAAGTAAGATTTTTCTAAATCAATTCTGGATTTGACAGGGAGCCAGTGGAGAGAAGCTAAAACTGGAGAGATATGATCTCTCCCAGTAACTCCAGTTTAACTCTGGCAGCAGCATTTTGGATCAACTGAAGATGTTTTAAAGAAGTATTTGTACACCCAGATAACAAACCATTGCAATAGTCCAGTCTAGACGTGACAAATGCATGGACCAGTTTTTCTGCATCATTTTTAGATAAGATATTTCTAATTTTAGTGATATTACACAAGTGGTGACACTTTAAAAACTCCTTAGGGTATATTTGAAGAATAAATGTGGAAAAAAAAAAAAATATATATATATACACAATCAGTTTTTGTTTTATTTAGACTATTTTTATGATCAATGCATCTTTAAAATCAGTTTATAGTTTGAAGAACCTCTTTTTACAGACGGATCTTCCTGAATACATTTCAGTATAAGTGTCGTACATTTTCCCCCCAAATCAACATTTGACTAATAACCTCATTGAAATCAGCCTTTCTGGAGCTGAACTCCCCAAGTTTGCCCCACACATTGCAAGTTAGTTCAGACTTTATGGATAAACTCAAAGGTTGTTAAGCCTCCTTTCTGGAATACCCTCCCAATGTCAATCAATTCCAATGCACAACTGTTAATGAACATTTTAGGACAGAAGTATTAAAATAGCCCCTTTTAAACAGCTCTATTAGTAATAATCACAAGCAACATAAGGTAAAATCTCTCCAGTTAACACTGAAATCTAGTACTAGAGACATGGGAAATCAGTCATGGGAAATCAGATGTAGCTAAACACTCATTTGTCTGTAAAAGGACAAGTGAAAGACAGCTCATGTAGGTTTGATTACTTCTTAGTACTGGGGAAGAAGAAACAAGACAATTTCCTTTAGTTTCAAAAGGATGTGAAAGTAGTAAGAAGTGGGACCTTTGGCTTGGTATGAGCAGCAGGAGCTAGCTACAGTTTCACTTTACTCACACAGAATCTCAGGGCTCCGCAGGGCTGCCTGTCCATGCCACTGAGAACCAGGGACCCTTGGCTGGCATGCATGCCCCTACAGCTGCCGTAGTGAGACTGGCTCAGCGGAGAAGTATTGAAAATACAGGAGAGAGACAGTATGTTCTGACAACACGAAACAACCAGCAGCCCACGTCAGTGGTGGCCATGCAAATTAGTGACAGACAAAAACAAAAAAATGTTCGTAGCACATACAGAACACGCAATGAATAAAAGGAACTTCATACACACAGATGGGTTAGTGTGATTTGTCTTGTTGCAAGACTCCAAGTTTGTCAGAATCAAAAATAAAACAAAAAAAGAAATGATCCTTAGGAGGAACAAATTTAATTCTCCCATTGGTTGAAATTTAAATCAGTTCAACAAGTTGATGTTATCAACATCTTAGGTTAGAGCAGTGACTATCAGGGTGCATTCACACCAGTCCTGTTTAGTCCGCTTTAATGGAACTCTAGTCCGTTTAGATAGAAAGTCCGGTTCGTTTGGGGAGGTGTGACCGTGCAATCGAACTCTGATACGGACAAAAAAAGCAAACTCTGGTCCAACTAAAAACCCAGGTCTCAGTCCGGTTGAAGTGAACTCTAGCACAGTTCAAATGCAGTGTGAATGCAAGCGGATTGGAGACCGCTCCAAAAGTAGGAAGTGGACTACAGCACAGGGCATTCTGGGTAAATACAACCAAAACAAACGCGCATCTCTTATACTTCATACAGAGCCATCAGCCGCCTTGTGTGAAAAACAGCATTCTCCATGCTCTTGTCTCATCTTCCACTCATGCTGAGTCCATTTTTGAAAAATGTTAAAACAGAACTTCTAAAACTACTAAAATTTGACACCACTCCATGATTCATGTTTTTATTTCCAGAAGAAGAAGTGTCTTCTTCAGAGGTTTTTGTGTCATTTTCTTCAGTAGTTCTTGGTGCAGCGCCACCACAGGCGAGAGGGGGGGGGGGGGGGTACAGGTTGGTTCATTGACTCAGTACAGTGACTGAACCACACCAGCTGAAAATGTAAACAAATGTTCTCCCCAATCGAACAGAATCTACCGGACTATCAGGTGTGAAAATGACCTTAAGCTGTGGGGTGTAAAGCTTTTGGGAAGAGAGCGGAGGATTGTATGAATACTCCTTTTTTATTTGTTTGGACCCTAAAAAGCTCAGGTGGAATTAATGTTTTCACTACATGAACCCGTTTTTGTGGCACTAACTTAGAGTAGAGCTTCTGGTCTGGGTAAGCAAAAAGGATCAAAACATTTTAAAAAGGTTACAGCATAAATAAGTAGATAAACAGATGAAATACAAATTCAAATTTAGGAATGTATCTGTGCATGATGACCTGAGAAGAAAAACATTTTGGCAAAAGTTTGTATTAATTAAATTAATGTTTTAATTTTACCTTTTCTATTTTCTTGGCCTCAATGTGCCGCATCACCTGGTCCCTCCAGTCTGCTGGCACCCGTCCTGGCACCTGTGCAGGCCCGTCCAGAAGCGAGTGCTCAGACTTCACCCAGGTGGGGGGCCTCTTGCTGGGGCTGCTGTGCTGGTAGTTGAAATCGCTGACAGACATGGTCCTTTCTGGAAGCTCGTGTGGCTGTGGCCTTGTGCTGACAGGCCTGGAGGCTCCGGGTGCATCAATGCTGTATGTGCGAGTAGAGAAGGGTCTCTGCATGGCCTGGCTCATTGCCAGTGGTCCTCTAGCAAGGGTATGAATGTCCCTGTAGGTCATGTACTCCCCGTCGGGCACTTGGATGCGTCTCGGTTCACCCATGGAGACTGAGGAGGCGCTGCTGCTCTGCCGTTGCAGAGTGCTGCTTCGAGGTTGGCCACCAGTGGAATGAAGCCACTCCTTGGTCCAGTCTCCTTTAGGAGTCATAGGACCCTCCCTCTGCGAGGGGTAGGGAGGTGCCTGGTTACGGTTTGAGCAATTGGTGTTGGCAAGTGAGTGTGGCTGATGAGGGAGGTATCCTTGATTCTCAGGTGGGACAAGTGCTCTCTGGGCCCAGAGTCCATCTTTAGACATGGCACTACTTGTGTACTGGATATTGTACTGAGGGGGGGGCACTCCCATGCTGGAGGAGGATGGATATCTGCTTGAGTTGGTAGGAGGCTTGGAGGAGGAGAGCAGATCAGAGGAAGACGTAGAGGAACCGTGGTAGACCTGGAAGTTCTGGTCATTGAGTAATTGACCAGCGGACTTGCTTCTGACTATGCTCTGGCCTTGAGCTCCTGGTCCTGGACCGGCCACCCTAGTCTTTGATGCCGTGTCATAACAATCTTCATCTCCATCAAAGGAGTACAGCTTCATGACTCTTGTTTCCATGTTGCTAACACTGTGAGACTTCATCACCTGTGGAGGGTGAGACCATTTCTCAGGAGACAGTTCTTCTGTGCTGCGCGACAGAGACACGTCGCTGCTGTCAGTCACACCTGTAGACAACTCCATTTTCATCCTCTGGCTTTGGTTCCCAGGACTATCCATGCAGTCACTTCCCTGTTGATTGCCATTCTGTAAACGATCCACGTTGTCAATGTTTAGCTCTTGCTGAGCAGTCGAACCATTCTTCACCGTGACCAGCTCATCCAGCTGAACAGAGTTGTAGACTGGCATCTTGGTTATGTTCATATTAATCCGGTCCCAGTTGGTGAAGGTGTCCCCCAAACCATTGTTTATCCCCTTCTCAATGAAGGCCATCTTGGCTTCCATCGTCAGATCATAGTCTGGAGGTGACTGCCGGGTTTTTAAAAGTGCCTGAAGGGACGTTTCAGAGCCATTACCATTATGAAGACGAGTGGCGGTGTCTTTAGGCCGGTTCATGTTTTCATCCTCCTGCCTATACACAGAACATTTATTATTAGAACATTAACAAGCTTCAGATTTAAAAACAGCTCTTTTTTATTGTTTTATGTTGCCAAAATATCTCATGAACTACCGGACAAATTTTAATAAAACCATAAGGAAGTAATTGTTAATGTTGTGAAGCTATTGGATGCATCTCCACAACTGATTGACTTTTTCAGCCAACCCAATTCAAGATGGCCGCCACAGCCAAATGAATCTAGAAGGCACAAAAATGTCTGTCAGTCAAGTTTACAGATATTGAGTAAAAAGAGTCACTGACAACACATACTTGGAGTGCTACTCATGAACATTTTAATATTAATGTTAACTAATTATTGTAGTTAGATAAATTGTCTCATGACTACACAGGTTTTAATAAAACTTTGGGAAAGTACCGTATTTTTCGGCCTATAAGTTGCGGTTTTTTGCATAATTTACATGCCCTGCGACTTATAGGCTGAAGCGACGTATTTTGTTTTTTTCCCATTTTTATAAACCAATTTTTGGCTGAGATATAACCGTTTTGACTGAAAAAAAAAAAATTGAGCAGTACCACTTTCAGCCACTTGATGGCAGCAGAGTAGTGGTAAGGCATGCCCTTGTATCAAGTAATCGGTAAACGTGGCTATAATGACAAATTCAAAAAGTTCAAAACAAAAACAACTGAACCAACAATTTTCAGTCAGGTCATATGGACAGTTTCTTTTTTTTTGCTGAAACGTTTCACCTTCCATCCGGAAGCCTTCATCAGTCAAGGAAACACACAACAAAACTGATTCTTCCACCAAACAGCTTACTCCAAAGTGGAACAAACCAGTTACGTTGGTGCTAAGATGGTTTCTTTGGTACGCCCCCTCCTCTGGAGCCGGCCCTCTTCCTCATCGACAGTCATGTCAAACTGTACTAAAAACAACTGAACTTTATTTATTACACTTTAATGTATACTTTATTGTTTTTGTCTTGAACTTTTTTGAATTTACCATGTCCTGGATGACTGAGAATCTTCACCAGCTATTAATGACACAATCGGCTTGCCATATTTCCCCACCTTCGTTCCGCTCGTTGCTTGGAGCAAGTCAAACCAGTTGCACTGCCCCGGCAAAATGCAGCTAATTTGACCATCAAAGTGCATTTATTAAGCAAACATTAAACTGAGACACCTTTACTATAATTTCAAGAAAACAAATAATCGATTTTTGCCACAACACCGGCCCACGTTTCCGGGTTGTCAGCGGTGACGCGAAACAAACGCGACGCATAATAGATGCGACGTATACGGCCAAGCGATGTATTTATGGACTTTTCCACTTTTTTAGACATATTTGGACTGATGCGACGTGTACGCCGGAAAATACGGTAATTATTGGATGTTCATCTACACCTGATTGTTTTTGAGTCAATCAAATTTAAGCAGCAGCTATGCAAAACTAGCTATACTTCTGTTATATTTACAGATACAGAAAACATTTGGCATGGGAGTAGTTAAACATTATTTTCACAGTTTGACCAAGACAAGTACAGCTCTGTCATTTCTAACCGTAAGCTGATAATTATCTAAAACGCTGGCATGAAAAGTAGCAGGTGATTTGAATTTCTTCAGGGAATGCTAGGCCTTTAGTATTTTAAAGGGCTATACTGACCGAGTTTTTGGAAGGAAAGGCATCTTTGCGTCTCTCTCAGGTGTGCACAGAGAGTTTTCATGACTGCTGTCAGTAGTCAGAGACACAGAGTCGGACATGCGCGACGGTGATGAACAGTTGCTGTTGTTCTGGTTGCTGTTGGCCACCGTTTCATCCAGCAACGAGTCAGCATCTTTCCCATCATCTGTTCAAGATAAACATATTTACATTTGCATAATCAACATTCGTCACTTCACATTTTTACTTGAAATGTTTAGGTATAATTACTTAAATTACCTTTTTTATCCTTACTTAAAGTCACTACTTTTGGCTGATTGATGGAAATCTCAATAAGAGGTGGTCTCATCTCTGCAACTTTCATCTCTTCATCATCTGAAAGCTCCTCAGAATCCTGAAGACAAAAAGTACTTTTATAAATGGTAGATTTTATTTTATTTCAAGCCTCTACTGTGCTTACTGCCGTTCTAATGTGAGAAATTGTAGGAAGTCAAAATATTTTTGATCACTTCTAGTGTGTCCTCGTGGTTCATCATCAAACCCTCTGAAGATCTGAGGGGAATTTTCTTGGAGCTAAGAGACTCTGAGGTGTCTTTAGCTTCAGTTGTAGAAGGACTTTGTGCACACGTGCTGGAGGATACCAGAGTCTCGGTGTCCGATGCTACACCGTTGGGACACGGGGCTTCTATCACCTGCGCAAAAACAATTCAAAGTTTGTTTCTTATATTTCACCAAAGAGGAATGAAAAAGACTGACTGAAAGAGACATATTTATTTCCATATTTCATTTGGCTGAAGCCGACCTTAACTCCCACGTCCTGCACTCCAATGTGGTTTCTCTCAGCTGGTTTGGACTCTTTCCCTGACTCGTCACTTGTTTCATCCTCCTTCAGTCTGTGAGCCACTGACTGAGCTGTCTTCACCATGTTCTTTAGCTCCTCTGGGTAAGGTGTTGGGTAGCGCTTCAGGTTTCCCTCCTAGAGGAGAATAAAAACATAATGAATTTCTGCCAAATCACCCCTTATTAAGAAACAGTTCCTGGGGTTTCCTGAATGGCTGTTTGGTTGGATTTTGATTCGTCTGATCTATAAAGCCAGTATCTCACTCGGCTGTGAGTGCTGGAATTATAGTTGGCAATTATAAAATTGTGAGAACATTGAGCGAATATAAGAGCATTTTCAAGTGCACTGAACTCTGAATGTCTCTGATAAAGTACAGCCAGATTATTTTTTTTTTTTATGGAGAATTTTTGTGTGCCATCAAGACGTTTGTAAACTATAACAAGTTATAATGTGTTGTGTGCATTCTGCTCTCACACTCACTCATTCAACCCATATTGTGTGCGCTCATATCTGCCAGTTTGCTTGCATAACTTTGCAAAAAAAAATAATAAATAATATATATATATATATATATATATATATGTATATAGCAAGTTGTTTTACCATATAATCAAATCACACCAATCTCTTGCTTTCCTATTTGAGATTTCAATAGCAGCATTTATCTCCATCACAGTAACATTCTTACTTGTCAGAATTTAAAATAAATATATTTAAATTAATTTATTACAAGTGATCATCACTTTTATTGTCCCCTTAGGGAAATTTTCCTTGCAGCAAGGTGGCGAAGAAATTAAAACACAACACAATCACACCATAAAATTGGCAAACAGTAAAACGTCCATGAACAAATATCAATAAAACAGGCTGAACGACAACATTAAGCTCAGTTACATTTTCTGAATAATGACCTGGCTGATAAAGAAAGTTTTTCCCATCTATCTTTTCCTGATCTGCCCGAATCTGTTCCCAGATGGAAGTTACAATATCTACAGTTCCAATTGTACTAGTAAGAAGAAAATGTCTAGAAACCCATAAAAAGTGGATGATTTAACATTTATATAAACAACCTGGATAGGTTTAATATAAATAAATAAATAAATGTATATATATATATATATACACATACATATATATATACATACACACATATATATATATATATATTTATATTGAAAAAGTTTATTATCTCTAATAATAATTGTTCTATAAAGACAAATGTTTTTGAAATCATGAATTGCAATCATCTTAAATTTTAGTAACTACTTGTAATAATGCAATTGTAAATATCCTAAATGGTGAGAAACTGGCTGAAATGTGTTTTTGGGTGCAAACCTGTGACTTAACCGAACCTGTGTTTATTAAAACATAATGTTGGATCTAAGATCATGGAATCATACACGATTGATTGATTGATTGATTACATGACTGATTCAGGTGTCTCTTGTAATTGAGTCCCCGAGCTCAATGGGATTAACCTGTATAAATAAAAGTTGAATGAATTGCAGTTACCGGTACACACACCATAAGCAGTTTACCAGACTATCTTCTGTCAGAACAAACTAATAAACCTAACACAGCATTTGGTCTAAAACCAGTAAAGAACTATATCTTCTAGTAAATCATCTAAACCTTAAAACATAAATCTGCCACTGCTCATTCTATTATGTTAAATAGTGCCTCAAACATTTCCATCCTCAGACGAATCAATTTAGAAATTAATAATGTAATATAAACAGTTGCTTTAGTGACATAATTCAATTTGTTTTAGCAGGTCTGTGACTCTTATAAACACGGTGTTATTATCAAAGGTACAGAAGTGACATTACTACAGCTTGTTAAATTTATTAGCAAGTCTAAAGTGAAAGGATGCTGTGCTTTTAAAACATAGAAATGTTCTCTTATTATTTGAAAAGTGGCTATTTGTGTTTCCTCACCAGTAGAACCTTCTGCTCCATGTTAGTTGAATTGCTAACTCAATGACTTGACAAACAGGCTATGCTCTCACTGCAGGTCTTAATGCTCAGTTACAACCGTTTGCTCTAGGGGTGCGATTTACCGGCCCCGATTTCCTGAATTTTGGGAAATCGGATATCGGCTGATGCTTGCATGAGAATCCGATTTTACCGATTTTTCTTAGTTTTAACAACAACTGTCTGAACTTCATTTATATTTCAGAGCACTACCTCCCAGCCAGTTAAAACAAGTTTGTATTGTTTCTAGGATATTGTTCAAGGGCATGTTTTCAATAAAATGATATTGGAAAATTGAAGGTGCATTGTGACCTTATAACACCTGACAGATTAACTTATAAAACAAATTCGGTATCGGCCAAAATCGGAATGGGCAGCTCAGAATTTTTTGGAAATCGGTGATCGGCCAGAAAACTACAATCCGTGCACCCCTAGTTTGCTCAGATCAGATCTTTTTGCACATCATTATAGAAATGCGACCTCCATCAGACTCCAGGGTGAACCGGTCACAGTTCTGAGGCAAACATGAAGAACAGGACACGTCACATGCAGCACACTGTGTGTAAGAAGGTAAAACAGATATGATACTATGGATTCTACACATATCAGCACGTGCACATCGATTCTCGAGTTGTCAGGCAATCAGAACTGTAGGGGTTGAATAGACCAGTCGACTTTAGGACATCTCGCGAGTTTTTAAATTTCAAGTTGACTAGTCGCAGTCAGTGATTGCGTCACGTGATCAGCGCTGGGCCGCTGGCTACAAAAAGGATTCTTCCAAACAGCTGGAAGGTGAGGAGCAGGCCGAGACTTGATAAACAGGTAGCAATTCATCAACAGTGTGGAAGTATTTCACTAAAGATGACACTTCCGGTTCAACCGCCCAAGGTGGATTCCACCACCGCCCGCTAGAGCTGTCATTTCTAAACCGAAGCCCGGCCTCGCCCGACCCAGATTTGGACCAGGCCGGTCCATAATAATAATGTGCTTCATGTGTGGGCCGGGTTAGTGTCGGCCTTTTGATCACGTCTGCGGACGTCACGGCTGACGATCCAATATACGACGACATGGCTTGCCATATTATCACCCGCCACACTTGGCCATTTGACCGCGCGCTGACCGGCCTTGAAAGAGGTAAAAAGTTCCGTTAAGTTTCAGATGGACTACTTCCAGGGATCCATCGCCCAAATGGACGTTCATTCAGCCGCTGCGATCTGTGGACGCACGCGGCCGACGACCCAGACAGGTGAGATCACAAAATATCTGACATGTCCCAGCAGGATGCAGGCAGAAGCAGGGGAAGCATTTAATGCGCTTTGACGTCCATGAAAGGACAAACACCCCCTCAGCTCCGATCTTCTGCCCCCTTTATTCAGCCGCACGCATCCACCGACCAGCAGTCAAAGCTTAATTCAAAATGTCGGGGGGGTTGCGGGTTTAATTTGTCGGATTGGGTGGGGTTCAGAAATGATGGGTACGGGATGAGGCCGGATTTTTTTGGACACAAATTCAACTCTATCGCCTGCCTTGCCGTTTTTAATTTGATTTTGTTTAATCCACAAAAAATAAAAACAAGGGGGCGCACCACCTCCGCTCCGCAGTGGTTTATTTTATTTAGTGGAGTAAGTCAAGTCAACTTTATTTATAGAGCACATTTAAAACAGAACCTGTTATCAAAGTGCTTAACAACAACAATCAATGGGAGTAAAATTAAAAAGAATAAATAAATAAAATAAAACTAACCTTTGCAGCCTAATAATAGTTTTTGTTTTCCTGCGACTTCTTTGCAGTATGATAAATGGTAGGAGCATAAATATACACTCCCGATGTTTTGTTGCTCTTTTCTTTTTGTAAATAACGAATGACGTGTTTTTGTGAATAGCGTCTTGAGTTCCTATGACGTCACATCGACTAGTCGACTCAACTTCTATCATGTTGAAGTTGACTTTAAGAAACGTGTGGTCGTTCCGCCCCACAACAAGCTTGTTTGGTCCAGTGTTTTGATGGCTCCTCATGCACAGCATTGTATATTTGGAACGAGAGCAGAAGGTAGAAAAAATAATCGACCCCATCATGTTAGTATTGATACGGTTTGATACAAACGTTAGAATCAAACGTTGCTGCTGATTCTCAGTCATCCAGGTCCTGGCAAATTAAAAAAACAAAGACGAAGCAACAGGACTTTGACATGTTAGTTCATAAAGTGCAACTGATCTGTTTTATTTGTTATTTGGTTATAAACCCTATGTGTTAATAATATTTCCCATTTTATGCCATTTTGTACAGAAACATGCACTGACCGCAGCGTACTGTATTTATCTAATTTTCTATTCTCTCCTTTAACTTGAGTTTATACACTGGAGGTTTATAAAGTTTTGTTTTGTTTTTGTGGCCTCACATGTATCAGCATGTATTGTTTTCTCCTTTAATTATACGAAGAGTAACAAAAGTGGACCACTCACTCTTGGGGGAGTTTCTCTCTCATCCTTGTCCTCGTCACACTCAAAGGCCACCTGAGCTCGCTGCTTGCGTTGCTCCTCCCACAGAGCCGGATTGAAGCTCTCGGAGTCAGAGTTGGGAAGGACTGGGAAAACACACAAGCCAAGCAGCAGATAATGTTTACATTTCTTTTGTTTTAATAGCAGCATTTTGACGACAGCTTTCTAACTGTAGCTCGTCCAGGCTGGACTTGAACCACCAGATGGCTGTAAAACTGTACGAGGCTACTGGAAGAGTAGCGGGCAACCAAGTCACACCAAGAATTCAACTACGGTAGTCCCTCGCTACTTCGCGGACTTACTTTCCCGTGGTTTTTCAGAGTAAGATTGGACATGACACACAATGGGTTGACTGATGGATGAGCTGCACGAGCGGCATGGATTGTTTATTCAAAATAAATCATTTAAATGATTTTGCACCTGTGTGCAGCCCACGGGTGCAGGGAGAAGCTCCCTCCTGCAGCCTGTCAAGATCTCCTCTCTGCCTCCCCCACGTTTCTCCTGCTGCAGCTTTGTGAAGGGTTAACCCTTCGCTGTCCAGCTGCACCGATCGACTTTTGTCTTCCAACTTAAAATTCAAAGTTTGTCACATCGTAAAACTGTCATAATCACAAAATATAAAAGTGTTAAAAGTTATTATTAATTATTTTAGAACTTCTACGTTCAGTTGTTTCAGTGTAATTGATCAAGAAGTACATTTCTGCTCCGTGCAGCAGAGCTGCGTGATGCCCTGTTGAACTTCTCTTCTCTACAATTTAAATACGGTAACATTTGAAATAAACAATCCATGATGCATGGATTGTTTATTTCAAATGTTACCGTATTTAAATTTAAATTGTTTATTTATACAGAAGAAGGGAGACTGGGAGGTGATGAGTGCGGTTGCAGCGTCTCAAAGAGCTGAGATCATGACATTCTGTCTCTTTTAGAGCGTTTAGAAACATTGTTTAGAATATTACAAGCATGTGGGAAGGGTTTATAAAGCCTTCATATATATATAAATATGTATAAATACTAAAATAAACTACTACTAGTTCATGATTTTTCACTTATCACACGTGGGGGTGTGGGGGCATGGAACCCCCGTGATAAACGAGGGACTACTGTGGTATTAATTCCATTCTTATTAAAAACTAACCAACGAGCAGTTTTACCTCTGTTGTCTGCATTAATACAAACAATCTAACATTGATGCAGCTCAAAATTAATTTCAAATTAATAATAAAACTGTTATGCACGCGTTAGCAACCTGGTGTTCAGTGAACATGTTAACATTATCAATATGCTTAGCATGTGAACATCAGTTTGTGACGGCACACACACTTCAGAGAGGTGGAGTGTGGTTTCCTGTGCTGAACTGATGTTGACTTAGCAACATTTTGATGCTTATAGACAAGATAATACTAAGACGACCTTGTCTGGATGTGTCCCTGTTGAGCGTTATCACAAACTCTAGATCTATTCACCCATGAACCCACGACACGCTGAGTCCCCTTGTGTGTGCTCTTTTTATCATCCGTTGTAAAGTAGAAGAACTGCAGTCATGCAGTAACTAACTTCGGCTTCTCAACAAAACAGACTGAACTGAAAATAGACACGTGTGTACAGTGAAAGGTAAAGTGGTACAAAGTGCACAGCTGTCAGACATCAGCTTCAGCGGAGGGGAAACAAACCAGACATCCAAAAATTAAGCTCTCGTTCCACCAGCCTGAAATCTAATTACTGCAAAGCTAAGATGCAACAGGAGCCGTCTAACCTGAGCGGTGTAATGAAACCCGCAGCATGGTAACAGATGGAAGCTCGACAGCAAGATGACAACTAGAGTTTCTTCTGCAGCCTCACGTAACAAGAGCTCTCATAAAATATGCAGTTAGGATTCCTTGTAGGTCACTATAAGCTTGTGCTAACATGGCAACTTCAGTCTAATGACGTAAAATGTGACACTAAAATGAATTCAGTTCACCTGAATGTGACTAAAAGGTTTTAAAACTCGCTGACTGATAAACCATCAGCTCCAATATTCAACTTTGCTGGTCAGTTTCTACAAATTAGTCTAAAACGTCATTAATAAAACTGATTGTTTATAAGATATGAAAACACAAAAAAGAAAGTGCGGTGTTATCCACTCACAGTCCTCTGTACTGGTCTGCTGGGGGAACATGTAGTTGGTCAGCACGGTTTTGTGAGTCTCTGGATCCTCCTCTTTCTGGAGGGGGATCAGCGGCTTTGACTGTGGAGACAGAAAGTATCTGCAATCAACTGTTCTTTGTGAAAGTCAGAATGAAAAGATTGTTCCTACAGTTCTTAGTTTGACAACATCAGAATGTGGATGAGAGGATGTTCTGTGCATCTCACAGCGTAGGCAAAATTCATACGTACAAAGAAACCCTCATACACCGGCATAATGAGTGAGAAAACCCAGCCCTCTGGAGCTCTGTCGTACTTCACAGTAAGAACAGGATTCTATTTTTATTTAGGTTTTACACAATCTCAGTTAAAACTTAATGAATTTTGGAGATTTTACCAAAGAATGTTCAACTTAAAGAGTGTGATGGTGCCACAAAAACATCTGAGCCGTTAACCCTTACGATTTATTCTCAAACTTCCTTCACTCCCACAAATTTTACCATAAAGTTTATACAGTAGTTCCTTGTTTATCGTGGGGGATCCGTAACCTGAAGCGCCAAGTAGGAATAGTAGTACAAGTAGTAAGTAGTTTATTTTAGTATTTATATACAGTAGTCCCTCGCTACGCCGCGGTTCGTTTTTCGCGGATTCGCTATATCGCTGTTTTTCAAAGTAAGATTGGACATGACACAATTGGCTGATTGATGGATGAGCCGTGGGTTGTTTAAAATAAATTACTTTAAATGTTTTTGCACCTGGGTGCAGCCCACAAGTGGAAGCTCCCGCCTGCAGCCTGTCATGATCTCTGCCACACACACACATTTCTCCTGATGCAGCCTTGAGAAGGTTAACCCTTTCCTGTCCAGATGAACCGATCGAGTTTTGTCTTCAAACTTAAAATTGAAAGTATGTCACATCGTAAAATTGTCAAAATCACAAAATATAAAAATGTCAAAAGTTATTTTTAATTATTTTAGAAATTCTATGTTCAGTTGTTTCAGTGTAATTGATCAAAAAGTACATTTCTGCCGGAAATGTGGACCGGTGTGCCAAAAACTGATGGACTTCCAAATGGCAGCCGCAGGAGCGTGCACTGGAGGACTTTAACAAGAATTTAACAAGATTAATACTTAAAAACATTTATTTGTTTGCTCAAAATTATACCAAAGGTGTGTCTCAGTGTAACGTTTGCTTAATAAATGCACTTTAATGGTCAAATCAGCTACATTTCGGTGCAGCTGTTTTGACGGTTCCAAGCAACGAGCAGAATGAAGGTGGGGGACTATGGCAGGCCGATTGTGTCATTAATAGCTGGTGAAGATTCTCAGTCATCTAGGACATGGTAAATTCAAAAAAGTTCAAGGAAAAAACAATAAAGTAGAATAAATAAAGTCCAGTTGTTTTTGTCTTGAACTTTTTTGAATTTGTCATTATAGCCATGTTTACCTATTACATGATACAACAGTATGCCATATAGCTATTACTACTCTGCTGCCATCAAGTGGCTGCAAGTGAGCTATTTTTTTTTTTTTCAGTCAGAATGAATGAAAACGGTCATATCTCAGCCAAAAACTGGTTTATAAATATGAGGAAAAAATCCATAAATATGTCACTTGGGCCTTTAAGTCGCAGGACATGTAAATTATGCAAAAAAGTGTGACTTATAGGCTGAAAAATACGGTATTTAAATTTATCGTGGGGGGACAGGATACGGAATCCCTGTGATAAACGTGGGACTACTGGATATGTATATATAAAGGTGTTTTAAACGCTTCCCACACTCTTGCAATATTCTAAACAATGTTTCTAAACTCTAAACGGTCTAAAAGAGCACAGCATGTCATGATCTCTGCTCTCTCTGCAACTGGCTGCTCTGTCACCTGCCACCGGCTGCTCTGTCACCCGCCACAGGCTGCTCTGTCACCCGCC